GTTTGTGTTTGTGTTTTGGTGGGGTTGCTGTGCTGCAGCCGGATGCTTCGGACGTTCAGGGGCAGTGGAAGCAGCGGGTGAACGATGCATTGCGGGAGGCGAAGGTTTCCTGCGATCCCCGAGAGGAGGAGTTTGGGGTTAAGCGTTTCTCTCGGGGGTGTAGTGACGACGGAAACTCTATTGTACCTTTTGTTGCTGTTCCTTATAAGGGGCTTGAATTCTCCTCTATACGCAGAGCCTGTCCCCTTGCCTTCGTGCAACACACGGGTGCGTGTGTTGCCTCTTGCTGTTGCTGCTGCTTTTGCTGCTGTTGTTGCTGCTAAAGTTGCTACTACTCTTGCTGCTGCTGCAGCTGCTAGTGCTGCTGCTTCCCCAACAAGTAGCTCCTCCCCAGCATCAGGAAGTAATGTCTTTGGAGTTGCTGCTGGACTTGCTGCTGCTGCTGCTGCTGCTGTTGCTGCTGTTGCGGCGCTCACGTGCAGGGGAACGCTTACCGGGAGCTGAGGTTCTGCGGGGTCCGTGGGCGAAGTGGCGGCGGCAGCGGGCGACGGTCTGTGTACACCAAGTGCTGGTGAACGGGCTGCCCCTCTACGTCTACTCGAACAACCCACAGGCAAGCAGGAACGGCCTTACTCTTGTATGGGGTGTTGCAGTGGCTCGGCTCCAGTAGCAGCAGCAGCTAATACGGATGCAACTAGGGGTGCATTGAGCGGCCTGCAGCTGCAGCTGTTGCTGGCGAGTGAAGGGGTGGGGTGCTGTGCAGTTTGTGTTTGGGGTGTATGTTGCAGGAGCCCTTGAACATGGGCGATGAGCTATGCCTCAATATGCTACAGTTTCCTGGTTTCCTCACGGACACATTCTTAGCAACATTGGGGCTTATAAAAAGGAAACGAGCGAATGCAGAGAGCGTGTTAGAGAACCTAAGACTACAGGGTTACACATCACCGCAGTGGCTGCAGCGGTGTTTTCTGCTTAAGTACCCGCTTAACTATGAGGATATATGCTCGCGGGGGTCGCTAGAAACCGTGAGGCTTCTAGAGTTAGTCT